TCCCAGTGATGCTATTCTTTGTTCTGTGGCACATATTTATGAGTCTCCATTTTACTCATACCTGCGCTATCCCCCTTACTTTCTTGAAGCACAGTTAGCCATTCTTTCCTGAATGTATCTATGTGTCTTACAAATTGCATGAAAGCCTTGTGATCTCAGGTAAAGCCTTACCCAAACTTCATTCGTTTCTCTACTTTCTAACCAGAGAATCTTCTCCTGCCCTGTGACTTTGTGTCCTTATCCTTTTTTAATCTGAGCTGGGTCATCTTGGTAGAACTGGGCCATACAGAAGGATATTCATACCCCGCCTCACTGGTTCTCTCAACCTATTTCTGATTTGGGAGCAGACTACCCAGGGTTGCAGTTACCTTTTGGCAGCCTGGCAGTGCAGACCTCTCACATTAGTGAAATGAGACCATGCACAGCTGGGGAGCCACTTCCTGATCAAATAAGCCCAGGAGGTTTGTTAAGCCATCACCCCATGCACCCACCCACCTCTGAAAAGTGTTCTGTTCTCAACACTCAGCTAAGGCATGTCTCATGGTCTTGTCCAAGAAGAGAACTGACCAAGAGGTTGACCCAGGCATCCTCATTCACCCTCTGTCTCGCTGGTTCTGATTTTATTTTCCTGTTTTTGTTTTAATGTGTTTACACAGTGTTGTGGCCCAGCTGGTTCCTGTATTTCTTATTCTTCTGTTCCATGGACCAGCACTACAAAGGCTGAGTGCTTGGAACCCTTTATTTTTGTGTGTCTAGATGAGAAGAGAGGGTGGGTGTGGATTGTGCCTCCCCAGTCCCTATTCCATGTGGGGAAGGAGCACAGACCCCCCAGACACAGGATGTGGTTCTACAATGTAGACACTTTCCATCAGACCAGACACATGCTACATAGATCCAGCCCACTCGACACTGCTGGGACACCAGGTTGGTCTTTTGGAGTCTTAAGATTTATAATACCATCTCTTCTCAACACCACTCAAACCCCAACAGTCATTAGACTCGTAGCAGTTTAGTGCTGCAGGAGACTAAAGAGGAGACACAGAGTCAGAGGATGCTAAGCCTGCATGACAGACTCGGGATATGCCCTTCCCCCAGGTCCGGCCCTTCACTCCCCCCATCCCACCCTCACCCCGCTGCTTGCTCTGCTACTGCCCACCCAGTAGCAAGCTCCTGACACAATCTCAGATGTGCAAGAAGCAGCATATTTCCTTATTTTCTTTAAATTGCCTAAATTTGGCTTCATAACCCCTAAACTACCAAGGTTATTCAAACTCAACCATTCTTATAAGCCCACAATCTGCCCCCAGGTACCATTGAGGTCCCCAGTTTCCAGGCAGTACCAGGGTGCTGCAAAGACATTCTGGGTGCTAGTGCCCGTGAAGATTCCCATGTTCCCAGGGCTGGTGGCTGGGCACTCCTGGACCCACCGGACCCACTGGTCAGCTCTCTTCTCCTAGGCTCGGGGAATCCCTCCTGCCTCTTTGCCTTCTGAAGCTGCCTTCCTACACGATGCTGGTTCTTTACTTAATCCTCCCATGCCTTGGTTCCACTACTATGGGATGAAGGTAATTACAGTAAATGCCTCACCAAATCTCTTTGAACATTAAATGAGTTGCTAGACAGAGTGCTCCGGGCCATACCTGCACAGAGGTTAGCTGGTGCTCCATCTCGTGCTCCTGCTGATAGCGTTGTTGTCACTCAGCCTTTGGTGAGCTTGGGGTTTACCACAAAGAGGAAGGGCTGTTGACTTCATGGTGCCTCTTTATGCCTCCTTCCCTATCCACATCACAGAAGCACAAGTGCAGAGAGGGCAGGCCACCTGCTCAAGGGAAAAATACAGGGAGAACAAACACAAACCAATAGTCCCCTAAATGATCCTGCCACACCCATGGCTCAGTAACTGCTGCGTTTGGTTGAAACATTGACCCAGGCCAGGATTAGAGTTTTTCACATTCTCCTTGGTGTTCATAGCCTGCTCTGAAGATTGACATACTCAACAGCTTCCCCAAAATCCAGTGCTAGAGGATATTATTTACATATTTGCATATGAAAATGTCTGAAGATTTGGAATAGGTAGACAGCCTCACACATGCATAAACTTGGCAGAGCTGTTGCAGCAAAAAGCTAACCCATAGTAATTCTTCCGTTGAGTAACTAAGACATTTACTCCTCTTTCTGGAAGCTGAGTGGCCTGTGTCAGACATTACTGTAACCCTCCAGCATCTCCAGAAAATTTAGTAAACAAGTCAATACACCTAGATCTTAACTATCTAGCACTGTGTCATTGTCCTTGTTACTAGAAGATAATGGCACATGCAACCCTTGCAGTGTTTGGGGCGGGGGGAGATGGGACAAACATGACCAGCTGTCCTTGATGTCCCTCTGGAAGGCCAACAGCCACCTAGCATAGTCTGTTTTCACAGGGATCACTCTGCTCTACCACCCCTGGTCTGTGATTAAATTATTTAAGAAGCTAGTATTTTTTATATATTGCTCCAGTGTCATTCTCTTTTTAATTCTGTGTGGGATAGAATGGAAATATAAGAGGTTGATTCCATCTTTATTCCTCAAGTATTCTTTACTTCTCATCACTTTTTAACTGTGCTGTTACATTCCTATTCTCTTCCTTAATTTACTCACTCAGCATGAGTTTGCTAGGGCTGCCATAGCAAGTGCCACAACCTAGTAGCTTCAACAACAGAAATTGTTCCTTGGTGCTGGAGACCACATCAAGGTGTGAGCAGGACTGGTTCCTTCCCAAGGCTGTGGGGAAGAATCTGTTCCAGGCGTCTCCTTTAGTTACTGGTGGCTTGCTAGGAATCTTGGGTGTTTCTCAATGTATAGAGGAATCACCCCCATCTCTCCCTTCATCATCATATGACATTCTCTCTCTGTGCATGACTGTGTCTAAATTTTCCCTTTTGATAAGGACACCAGTCCCCTGGATTTAGGACCCACCTGATTACCTCATCTTAACTAAATACATCTGCAACTACTTTTTTTTTTTTTTAAGTTGGAGTCTCACTCTGTCGCCCAGACTGGAGTGCAGTGCCGCTCCCGACCACCGCAGCCTCGACCTGCTGGGCTCCAGCGATCCTTCCGCCTCAGCCTTCCAAGTAGC